ACAACAGCAGCAACAGCGGCAGCTGCCTCTGCAGGCTGGGTGAAGGTGACTCCAGAGCCAGCGCTCCTGCTTCGCCCGACTCCCCCTCTCAGCACGCACCCTGCTCCCGCCTTGTCACCGAAGAACACATTTCCCCCTCCGTCACCCAGGCTGTGTGACCGGCCCAGGAGAAGAGCCTTTCCCTTCGGACTGGGATGGTTCACTATCACCCCCTCCTGAGCAGAGCATCTCTGCTCCCCCCTGGGGATGGGCACAACTTGCAGGAGTCCCGGGGTTGTGCTCGTGCTCCCGGGTGTGACACCGCCTGAGAGACATAAGGGTGCCCGCTACCCTCACAAACGCACACATCCTGGAAAATGAAAAATCTCGATTCTCGGGTGTCCTCCCATGATGGCCACCCCAGCTGCTGTCCATTGAGGTGTCCACCAGAGGGATCAGCAGCTCAGCACCCAGAGCACCATCACTCTGATGCTCACAGACAAGTCAAAACCATTTCCACCGGACTAAATCCTTGATATCGAGCACGACACAGACAGATGGCAAAACACCCTCATTTCCCTTCATTCAGGGGTGCAATGCCGTCGTACCACTGAGTAGAACTTTCCAAAACTCCCTTCAGTTTTCCACCACAACCGTTTTGTGGGCCAGGAGCCGGGCGGGAGCGAAGCCCCTGGCGCAGCCCACCGCCCGCCCTGCCAGCCCCACGCACGTCTGCCCCTTCCCAAGCAAGCGGCTGCCGGGCCTGGCTGCTCACCTGTTGTGTGGGGCACAGAGCTTCAGCAGACTCCCGTCAGCCTCCGGGCTCTCTTTTTTTTTTTTTTTTTTTTAAACCTGAAAGAAATGGTTCAGTAAGGAAGAAACATAAAAGTCGCAGAGATATGAACAGTCTGCAGAAAACGTAAAACTTGGCTTGCCACTACTGAACTCATCCAGCGAGAAACAGCACCCTCTGACCCTACCGCTGCCTGTGTAATACAGCGTTTATGCTAGGTGTATCCTGCACTTAAAATATATGAATGTTATACGCTCACCATTACAAGCATATTTTCAGGGCAGTTTGACTCGAAGTGCTTGTCTTCTGTGCTGTGTTGCAGGCAGGTGAACCTCACACGTCATTTTCTTCTCTTCTTTGTTTTAAATGATGCAGCATTTTCCCTGTGCTAGGTACTGACCTTTGACCCGCTTTCTCCTAGGTGAAGAGGGAGCATGCTAAACAGAGTCACTCAGGTAACTTTGGCATGAGAGTGGAGGAGAGAAGGCCACGAAATCTCTCTTTAAAACCGTTTGTCCCAGGAATCCCACTTCTGTCTTCGTCCTGGGTTCATGGCGATCCCGTCCCTGCCTGCTGCCTCCGCACCCCTCCCAGCCCACCCTCACCCCCACCGCAGCGAACCCGGAGAGCTAACCCCACCTCTTTCACTGCTGTCCTAGCTGACCAAACGTTTGCTCCAGCTCTGAAAACCGCCGGCGAGGTTGCTAGCATGCCAGGTAAGATTAATCACCCCACCCTTCACATAGGTATAAAATATCGCAGTATGATTTATTAAAAAGGTCAAAATTTTACAGAGCTTATGAAAACATTGGGGCGGGTGCGTGGGTAAGCACCCAGCGAAATCAGTGTCCTGTTCAGCCTTCCGCAGGTTTCGGTCCCTGAATCGCAGGGTACGTGAGCATCACTTCCAGGGCAACCCCAGCTGTGAGGGCACAGCTGCACAGAGCAGGGACTGCCCTATTCCCGCCCGCAGCTCTTCGGAGCAGCTTGGCTGCGCCTTCAAACCTTCTCGCAGCCCAGGCCGACGTCCGGCAGCGGCACGGTTCTCCAGTCTCGGGGCTGCACAGCCCACCAGCAGCAGCACAGGGCTTCGGACTTCCCTGGGCAGCGAAGGTGGTGCGGTGCGGCATGGGCTGCGTTCAGCCGGCCCATGTACAGGGGCTGGACACCCCTAAAACCATGCAGACCCCCCTCCCCGCAGGAAGGCTCTGCTGCTGCCCCTCACCTTCTGCCTCTCCTGGGGCTGCAAGCAGCCGTCGCCCTCAAACCGGAGTGGGAACCAGGCAGGGGCAAGGAGAAGGCACTGTCCAAACAAAGGCAGCTTTCGTGCAAAGCCGAGTGGTTCAGGTACATTGAAGGAGAAAACACCTCTGTTTCTGCTGCTTGGAAGGTAACTGTGATCAGATTTGGCTTTTC